CCTAATTTTTCTAGCCACTCAATTTCTTTTTCTTTGATCAGGGTAGGTTGTCCATCATGAAGACATCCACCACTGATGGAGCCCACACATGGTTGGAGCCCATCACCTTGGTGAGTTTCATTGTGTATGTCTCATAGAGAAGTTCCCCCTTGTTGAGCTTTGGTCAAAGTCTCCCCTTAATTTCAATGGACTCAACATTCCAACTTATGACACCAGTGATTGGTGCAAGCTGAAGGTTCAAGGAAATAGAGTTGTACCTTCATTAACAACTATAACTTTTAGTCTATTGATGGCACTTTATCATTCACCCCTTATAGAAGTAGGTGAATGAGAAGGACACAGGTGGCCCCCAATTAAATGGAATTTTAGTTTCTTTCAATGATACGAATGAACTATACTCCCTTCAGCCCCCTGTTATAAGGCATTTTAAAATTCTTCTCTACCAAAGAATGAAAGTTAATTGGAATTTTATTTTCTTTTGACTACATGAATGAACTATACTCCTTTTAGTTCCTATTATAACATGTTTATAACTACTTTACTAAATCAAAGAATGATAGTTAACTAATTAAATTATCTTAAAATGAACAAAATTCCAACTTTATCCCTATTTAAAACAAGGAAGAAAGAAATATATAGTATATGATGAGCTATAAAATTAAAATTACAATAGGAATAAAATTGAAAAATAGTTATAAATAACTCTTAATATGCCTTATATTAAGGATCAAATAATCTTTATAGAAGGTGCCCAATAAGATTGAAGGAGTATATGAATAGACGCAAAAGCATATACATTCACATAATTTCAATAATATTAATTTTTATCATTCAAAGGAGCTCAAGATATGTTCAAATTATTGAAAAAATAGCAATTTCTTTGGACCCATCAATGGACAATGAGTAGTAAAAGATTTTAAAATCTAATTTATACAATGTCAATAGTTTTGTTATCAATGAAAGCATCTTAATATTTTGAATAACGTTTTTTTGAATTTTATATAGAGCAAAACGACAATTTGGCCCTTCAACACCTAAGATTATCTAGAATTCTAAACTCATTTTTGGTTGATTTTCACTCCTACAAATTTAAAATCATGGTGATCTTTCCCTTGCTGTTAACTTTGACCATTAGTTGATTAGAAAATTATAGAAAAGGATCAAAAGAATCATAGAAAATAACCAAAAAATTACAAATTTTTATCTTTTTGTAATTTTTTTATAATTTTTGGGTCCTTTTTCTGAAATTCTTTTGGTCTTTTTCTGTAATTTTTTATGTTATTTTCTACTATTTTGTAATCAATTAATGGTCAAAGTTAATAGCATGACGAGATTATACAATTTTAAATGTTTAGGGTTGAAAATGAACTTAAAATGAGTTCAAGGCCTCATATACTCTTAGGTCTATAGTTTAAGAGCAAAATTATCATTTTACCCTTTTATTTATTTTGATATTGGATTTAAAATTTATATTTCATAAAATAATTGAAGCTATGAACTCCTTAATATTTATATTCCATGTTGTTAATACTAGATTATGTGTTGCATGCTCAATGTTTTTAATTTATTTAATTCAATCAACAGGTAATTATTAATTAGAAACACCATATTAGATTGAATTAATCTATCAAATATCAACACTTAATAAAGGGACAAAATCAAATTAAAGACGACCGCTCTTTCAAACCAACCATAATTTGCTGGTGAAAAAACAACCATGATCTTACAATTAAAGTTTATGGATGCCTATGCATATTAAGCCCGTCAATATCAACATATCAATAAAAAATCAAGCGAGAATATCAATAAAGGATTTACGAAAAAAATTAATATCTAACTAGGATTCTGGATAAATTATATATTTATTAAAATAATAACTTTAATTGTCAATTTGTTGATGTTTACTTATTCAAAATAATGGTAAGATATTAAATTCTTTTCGGAGTTATTCATCAATATTCTCCCTCTATGAACTATGATACACATATACAATATGTGAATCAAATATTCAATATGTCAATATTTTTATTTTTAAAAATTATGGGATACATCACATATCTGATACGTGCATACACACACATATAAAAAGAATTAAAAATATAATTTTAGTTAAGAAAATATCCGAACTAATATATTTATATAGTCATTTATAGTAATGCCAAATAGAACATAATTATTAGTTGTATTTTTATGCTAGAAAAAATTGTATTTGAGGACCTCAAGAGCAAATCAATTGACAAAAAGGACCAAAAGAATATGAAATTGTTCTATAGGACCAAGGGACCTAAATGTGATTAAAATTTATCGTAAAAAGACAACATTGCCTCATATATATATACATATATATATATATATATATTGAAAAAATCCCCCACTGTCATTAGACCACTAGATCAGCACCGTCCAGTTGCCAGCGGTTGGACCAGCGCTGCCAGACACTGATGACAATTAAATTTAATTTTTTAAGGTGACCAAGGGTGGATTTGAACCCCAACCACTTGGTCATCAAAAGAATTGATAACCACTAAGCTGCCAACGCTTCTAAATCATATATTGCATAAAGTTGTATATATTATCAACTTTATTTTTATTTTCTCAACCACTGCTTGTCAAGAGTTTCATAATTACTTGTCATTTAACAAATGGTTATTAGTTAAATTACTAATGGAGACTTATTAAAAAACTTTCATATGCACCATTTATAAATATTTACTTGCTTTTTTTTAACCAGAAATTTACTTGTCAAAAGTTTATGCAAAATTGTTCTTTTAGTAAAAGTTTAATCTTCAACTTATTAAGGGAAATTGTCAAAGTTGGTAAAACAGACTTCTCATCTTACAAATGGTTATTTGTCATCTCACAATTGATTGCATGTTAAATTTCGGATCTTGTTAAAAAAATTAATATGAAGAATTACATCTAAGTCCCACTCAACACACAAATATATTATTTCAAGATCCATTGACAACTGAGTTTAGGAGAATGACCAATTAATATCCACAAACTTTTATAAATGTTTGTTTGTTTTTATTATCAAAAGCTTATTTCTCAAAAGCTTATGTGAACTTGTTATTTTAGTAAAACTTACTTTTCAAATTAGGAAAAATATAATTTTGAGTTCTTGCACTTTGCTCGAGTTTTATTATAAGTCCTTGCACTTTTTTTCTATATTCAAGGTCCCAACACTTTTTTTTTTTGGTGTTCTAGATCATCTTGCAAGGATCTATAGCAAACCTCAAACAAAATGCAGGAATTTAAAGTTATATTTTCTCATCAAATTATTAAGGGAAATTGTCAAAGTTAGTAAATGGGAACTTGTCATTTCATTAATGGTCGCTTGTTAAATTACTAACAGGGACCTGTCATTACTGGTACATATTAATTTTTTTAACAAGTCATTGTTATTAATTTAACGCTTAACTATTTGTGAAATGACAAGTCTCCTTTACAAACTTAACAAATAACCATTTCTATATTAAAATATAAAAATGTGTGCATGTTAAATTTTTTAACAAGTCTCCATCAATAATTTCACTGTGATGGTCAAGACAAAAAAAAAGCTAATATTTCATTAAGGACAAGAATTTAAATATTTTTCATTTTTTCTTCATTTTTTATTTTTTTAGGCTAACAATTAGCTGCTTTGAACTTTCTTTTTTTTTTTCTTGACCTTGAAAATTATGGTAACAACGTATGGATGAGAATGAGAATTATTGATATACAACTTCACCAAAATCATATTTCATTAAAATTTTATAAATTTAACTATATTTTAGTTGATCTTTTATGATTTTAGGATCTAAGTGTCATTTCCCTATAAACTTTGTTTATAAAAATATGAAAATTTAATAATTTTATTACTTGACGTGATCTCTCAAACAGTAATCTACCGCAATGAATAGTGACAAATACAAATTTTCAAAATAGAGACAGGGTTACCTCCAAAAAGGAATATTCTAAAATTATTATTGTAGACCCCACCACCATTCCTTTTCTAATGCAAAATTTCATTGATGAATGCAACTCACAGCTGCCTTTCTGTTTTTCCACAAGTTGTCTTCTTATTAATTTCTCAGTTGTCTAAGTCAAGCTTTCTTTTTATTTTTTTATGACACGTCTAAGTCAAGCTTTTTTTTTTTTTTTTGGGGTAAAATTTCTAAGTCAAGCTTTTGATAGGCTTTTGTTTTATAATTTATTTAAAATTTTGGATTCAATACTAAGGCACCAACTTATTATAATCTCAAGTGTAATTAATAAAAAGAACAGAGAGAATTGCTTCTAAGAACCTGTAAACAATGTTATTCTCAGATAAGGATCATTAACAAGTTACCATTCAAGAAAAGAAAAACATGTTTAAGTTTCCATTTTAACAATAATCCATTTTGTATTTGATCTTTGTTTATGACTAACATTTTTCACAGGCACGCGGTTGAAGTTTGCAACATATATTAGCATTAAATCAATGGTGCTAATTTTATAATAGGAAAATTTGAATGTTCTCTACCTTTTAAGATTTTGGGTCAAGTAAATTCCCCAATATTCTAAGATTTCCTACTATTTTTCTTCTTTGCAAAATAGCTTTTGCATATTATTTTGTTCATTATAATTAATTAGCTATTTTAGATTAATATTGGTCAAGTAAATTCACCAATATCATTTCTCTTATTCCAGTGCTGATCAAAGCTTTCTTCTCCTTGTGAAGCCACTAAACCAAAAAAAAAAACAGAGAGAGACTTTCAACTGTGATTATAAAAAGTTGCCGTTGAAAGTTTGACCACCTATGATAGTTAAAAAATTTTAATTCTTCTCCATTTCAAACAAGGTTTTGCAGATTACTTTGTTCATTATAATTAGCTATTATAGGCTATAACAATTAATTACATTATTATCCTTACTCTTATTACCAAGCTGATCAGCTAATGGCTCTCAAAGATTATATATAGTGAAGCTTTATTCCCCTTTTTCTTCAACTTAGCTAAGAAGCTCTGAGCCAATCCAACATGGGAAATCTTTGCTTTCATTTCTTCTCCTCCATTTTCTCCATGCTCTGTCTCATGGTTTGCCCATCTTTATGTCATTCCAATTTTACCCTTGATGGATTGACACTTCTTGCTTTCAAATCTTCTATTAGGGACCCGAACAATCACTTGAAAAATTGGTCCAACTCATCATCTTCCTTTTGCAACTGGTTTGGAGTCACATGTGATTCTAACAATGAGAGAGTAAGAATCCTCAATCTTCCTGAGATAGGTCTTGAGGGCACCTTACCTTCACAAATTGGAAATATGTCCTTTCTGGAAAAACTCGAACTACAGAGCAACAACTTTCATGGTGGGTTGCCAAAAGAGTTGCTTCAATTGTGCAAATTGGAAATTCTAAACTTGAGTTATAATGCACTTAGTGGAGAAATTCCAACTTGGATTGGAAGCTTGTTTATGCTTCAACACTTGAGTCTTGGCAATAATAGTTTTGGAGGTGTCATTCCTCCAAGCATATGCAATTTGTCTAAGTTGGAGACCTTGGATTTGAAGTCTAATTCCATCAACGGATCTATTCCATTGGATATTGGAAGACTTCAACACCTAAAAGTTTTATGCATTTCTAAAAACATGCTTTCAAGAAGTATACCTCCAACTATCTCTAACTTATCATCACTTGAACACATTTCTTTGTCTCTCAACTTCTTAGAAGGTATGTCTTGTATAATATATATGTGATGATATAAACATTTATTCTATTTCAAAATTGATGAATTTATCATTTTTTTGTAATTGTTTATATCAGTCTTATATGTGATGTCAATCTAACATGAGGCATGCTATTTACAATGTCTTTTCAAAGTTAGTCCTTGAACCGAAAATTCTCAAACACTTAACAATTACATGAAACAAATTAACTATACCTCTATAATTAAGCTACCATCCCCAGAACAAATTTGACTATTCTTAAAAAATTATGCCTTGAATGAGTTATCTCTGACGAAAGAGATTTTTATTTGAGTGGAAAATTTAATTAAATGTTATTGAAAATTCTCTTTCAGCGAGGCACTTTTTCTTACGCTATATTTTTTGGAATTCCTTTTGTACTTTTCAATTGTCATAAGTTGATGCATGTATATATGTATATTATCTGGTTGGTAATATTGACTAGAGATCAAATCATTGAATACATGTATGAGATACAACAATAACGTATTTCCAGAATTATATGTCTTACTCTTTCGTTTAATACTACTTTTTATATAAGCACTCACGAAAAAAGTGCAAGGTTATTTTTTTGGCCATATTGCAGGGCATATTCCCAAAGAAATGAATAGGCTTACAAATCTAAAAAAATGCACATGGGCATGAATAAGTTGTCAGGGCAAATACCAAGCATCGGTAATATCTTGCAAGCAATAGCCTCCAAGGTATATTTTTAACGAATCATAATTTTTTTTACTATTGTTTGTTTTTCTTTTTGGGACAATTATGTATAGGTCCTATGGAGCATACTTATTTACAAATAAGTCTCATGTAATTTAGAAACTACAACCAATCCCTTGAGATCTAATCATAATTTGAAATTAAGGTGCATAGATAATAGCACTCTTACTTGTAATGCGTAATCAGTTTAATTATTGGATATGTGAAGTTATAGCTAGCTATAAAAAGTCAAAGTGATAGTTGTAAATTGTTCTAAACAATTAATGTTAAACTTTGTTAGTAATGTACAGATATGTGACGTTATGGTTGTATAATATTGATATGATAGTTGTAAATTATTGATGAAGTAGTTAAACTTTGCATGATTAATTTAACTATTAGATATATGAAATTATAATTATAAAAATTTGAAGTGATAATTGTAAATTATTGATTATATAATTTTTAATAGGGACATTATTGTCTTTGCACCTTAGTTTCAAATTATACTCAACTCTCAAGGGATCTAGCTATGGTTTTTGAATTTTGTAGGACTTATTTATAAATAAGTCTGCTCTATGAGACCTATACATAATTTTTCCTTTATTTTTTAAGGGGAATCATTAGAAACAACTTTTTGAATGACCATAATTTTTGGAGAATCATCCCTTCAAATATATGTCAAGTTGATGATTCAATGGTTATATTTACGAGACAACATATTTTCTTAATTCTATACTGCAAAATAAATCAAGGACCCAGTTGTTTATGATTAAAAAAATAAGTGAGTTTTATATCGTTTAGATTTTTTTAAAAAAAAGGGATATTTGTTGTAGAGATTTTATAAAAAGCATATATTATTTTATGTTTAACTACAATAATGAAAAGTGATTATTATTTAGTTATTTATATATTTTATGATATCTTCATGGATCTCTATTCATAAAAAATTATTATATAATTATTTTAAAAGGGCAAGACTTAGGTACGTAACATTATATACTTAAGTATAATACTTGTATTCAATCAAATCAAAACAAGTGAAATTTAATGTGTTAGTAATATTAATAAAAAAATTATTGTAGAATAAATGATATATAAATAATACATGTATTTTGATTTAATTAGAAACAAGCACCATAACATATATAAAGCCAAGTATATAAAATTTTCCCTTTTCATAAAATATTCAAAGTAGCTTTTCAAATTAGTAACAAATTACAAATATGTTTTTTTAAGATGTTGATTATTTTCAAAATTTAAAAAAATATAATAAAATTTCAAAAGTAATTTTTTATAAAAAAAAATAAGTGACCATCTCATAAAAGGAAGATCAAACAAATGGACCCCAAATTAAATCTCCAAACTTTAATTTCATAACTTATTTTTACAAGGATTCTTAAAAATCATAAAATAAATTCAAAGGAGTTCACTATATTTTATGTTTTTAAATTAAAATTCTTCTTTGTAAAATTATTAAACCATGTATATATATAACCTCAACAGACTATATCAAATTTGTTTCCGAAAAATAAAAGTAAAATTGTGGGAGGTGAGAGGTGTGGAATTAGAATGTTTAATTTTATGCAACAAAATTCATAGCATTGTGATTTTATTGTGTTGTAATATTGCAGGAAATATTCCGAATGAAATAAGCAATCTTACAAATTTGAACAGCATATACTTAAGTTTAATCAATTGTCTGGTCACATACCAAGAGGCATTGGCAAATTCACTAGGCTTCAAGAGTTATTTCTGGACAACAATAACTTAGAAGGTATATAAATACTTTTATCAAATTAAAGGCTAGTTCTGCTTAATTTTCTGTTAATATGATATTTTATGCATGAGCAATCAAAATAGAGTTACTTTTTTTTCTTTACCACGTAAAAAGGAATTATTTCTTTACAGTAAACAAAGAGAATCTCTCAAATCCAAAATTTATAAACATAGATGATGATGATAAGTTTCTGAGCATTAATTAACCTTAAACAGGTATAGTGAAAATATACATATATATGCTCAAGGAATTGGAAAATTGATTTTTATTTTATTTTATTATTGAGGCTACGATCCACAGCTTTCACAACTTGTACTACAAATTTAACAGACTATATCAAATATTCTATATCAAATATTCACCGACTTAAATTTCTTAATTAAACATATATTTTAACTGCACATTATACTTTGGGATTGGTACGTAGCAATTCAAAACCATTTATAATTAATGGGAGTTATCCTTTATTATCATTTAAACAAGCTTCTTATTATTTAAAAAGTAAATTGTTTTTATGAAAAGTTAAAAAAAAAACGCTATCCCTTATTAAAATTGTTAATTTATCAAGAAATATAATTCATCAAAATAAAAAAAATAAAAACTAGTCTAATATAGACTAAATTATTTTCAAGACATAGAACAAAAATTATATACTATATATATATATATCATAATTTTATTGATGATTTTAAGTGTTGGCTCATCTTTTGAATATATAAATCTATATATGAGGACAATCATGCTTTAGACATATATAATCTTATTTTCATTTAGGCCACTAACTTTAAAACACAAAACAACTTCAAATAACATAGAAAGTATGCGTTACCACAAATTTAAGTGTTGCTCTTTTTACTTACAATGATGCATTGTTAATTTTTTTGTTTGTTTGTAGGAAAAATTCCCATTGAAATTGTAAGTCTTGCAAATCTGAAGATAATAACCCTAGGGGTTAATCAGCTATCTGGCCCCATACCAGGAGGCATTGGAAACTTGACTGTGCTTCAACAATTGTATCTTCATAGCAATAATTTAGAAGGTACATTCTCACCAAAATATAATGCACTACCATCATTTTCTTTTAATGTGATATTTTATACTGTATAATGACTTCTTTGCTTAATTTTTCTTTGAATCATGCATTTTCATTCCACTCATGATTTTCAACTTCTCTTCGAACCTCTCCCCACCTATTCTTTTTCTGTTTAGATCTGATGCTTAAACTGGTGAATCAACCAACCAACAAGTTTTTCATGTTCCCCTAATTTGTTGACAAATTTTTTACTAGTTCACTTCATATAAGATATAATGATTTATGCTAGACTAGACCACAAGCTAGTTCACGTCTGATTGGCTAGTTTGGTCCAATTGTTAAAACCATGATGTAACTGACTATTTAGATTTGTAATAGTATACAGTAAAAATAATTTTAGAAACTCAGGCCAGCAAGCTAAAAACTCATCATCCACTACTAAAAAAATACCTACAAGAGCGTTTATTTTAGACATAAAAAATGTGAAATTATATCACAAAAAATTGTGACCACTAAATTAGTGACTGATCAAAGCGTACTAAGTTTGTTGCAAAGGCCCAAATCCATCACAAATTTGTCCAAAATTTTAGTTTAAGTAGTTGGTAAATCTAAGTAGTTAGACAGCACATTTATAATTTTCTTTATATTTTAATATTAGCTTTTGTTGATACTTCAATTAATATTTGTTTTCTAGGATCAATACCTATGGAAATTGGTAATCTTCAACAGCTTGAGATATTAAAATTGTCTCAAAACAAATTGAGAGGGTCTATTCCATCAAAGATTTTCAACATGTCAACTTTGGAGGTCCTGTCTCCATTAAACAATTCTCTATCAAGAAGTCTTTCATCAAATTTTCGATTTGGCCTTTCTAATCTACAAATGCTTTATTTATAGGGCAACAAACTTTCTGGAAAAATCCCAAATACCATATCCAATGCTTCTAAGCTAACAACTCTAGAATTGGAGGAAAATAATTTTGAAGGGGTTTTACCAAACACACTTGGGCATTTAAGATACTTAGAAACCCTTTCAGTAGGTGATAATAATTTTACCATTATAGATAGTTCCGATTCTGAAACTGGCTTTTTCAATTCATTGTCAAATTGTAGACATTTGAAAAGTTTGATTCTCTAAACGAATCCACTGCACATGAAACTTCCCAAGTCCATTAGAAACTTGTCTAATTCTCTACAAGTGCTACTTGTAGACTCGTGCAGGATTAATGGTAACATACCATCAGAAATTAGGAATCTATCTAACTTGTTCCAGCTATCATTAGCTATCAGGCATCATTCCATCAGCTATAGGTGGCTTGCAAAATTTACAAATTCTCTTATTGGCACATAACAAATTGAATGCGAAGATTCCCGAATCACTTAGGAATTCGCTAAGCTTAGTGAAGTTAGACCTTTCCCAAAATCAATTGTTTGGTGAGATTCCTAAATCTCTAGAGTCACTTATATCCCTTGTGTATGTCAATCTCTCTTTTAATGAACTACAGGGTGAGATTAAGTGGCGGAGTCTTTAAAAATTTAACATTTGAATCTTTCATGATGAATAAAGCACTTTGTGGTGAGCCACAAACGCAAATGCCTCCATGCAAAAAAGGAACAAGTAAAAGGTCAATGGAAAAATTGATTTTGTTGAAATGTGTATTGCCAATGGCTTTGTCAACAACTTTAATTGCTACAAGCATTGTCCTCTTTCAACAAAAGTGAATAAATTCTAGGCATACCATTAAAAAAGTTTTATCTACTTTAGGAATGCCAAGAAAGATCTCTTATTTTGAAATTTTGGATGCAACTCATAGATTTGATGAGAGTAACTTACTTGGAAGGGGAAGTTTTGGTTCTGTGTTCAAAGGAAAACTTTCAAGTGGAGTAATGGTTGCTATTAAAATATTCAATTTTGACCCAAAAGCATTGTCAAGGAGCTTTGAGATAGAATGCAACGCAATGCGTAATTTACGCCATCGCAATCTGGTGAAGATCATTAGTAGTTGTTCTAATGTTGATTTGAAGTGTTTGATAATGGAGTTCATTTCCAATGGAAGCCTTGAAAAATGGTTATATTTTGATAACTATCATTCGGATTTTCTACAAAGGTTGAATATAATGATAAATGTAGCATCTGCTTTAGAATATCTTCATCATGGCTTGTCAACACTAGTAGTCCATTGTGATTTGAAACCAAGTACATTTTGTTGGATAATAATATGGTCGCCTGTGTGAGTGACTTTGGAATTGCGAGATTTTTAGATAAAGGGAAATCTAAGACACACACTGAGACAATATCTACAATCGGTTATATTGCACCAGGTAATTAGCTTAAATCTTTATTATTCTTCTTTTACAAAACCCCATTTTAATCGGAGTTACTATGGTAAGATACATATGTCTCTCATCTTTTCAGATTAACAAAATCAAACGAAATTAGAGAAAAATAAATTAGTTATTATTTATGTGAAATGAATGCACTTGTTTACAAAACATTATTTTTTTATACATGGGAAGTTGAATTGACAAACTACAGCACGTTATTAAAGTCATGAGCGTAAAATAATTGCAATTGAATCTAATTTCCCTAATTCTTATATAAAATTTTTATTGGTTATTTCCTTACAATTTTGATGGCGTTATTTATATTAAAAAAAGAACTATACTTATTTAACTAATTTAGTATATATACTTATGTTGAATTCTTTATCTTACTTTTAAACATGAATGAGATGGTGTGTTTTAATGTACGTGGTTGTGTTCGGCCAAATAAAAAAATGTATGTGGGCTCATGTTCATCAGTGTAGTAAGTAATTTTAATATAGTGTATATAACAATTTGAGATATATATTCCTATCAAAAATATATCCCATATATTGTATTTGATGAGAATGTTTTCTGACAGTTTTTTTTTTCCTAAAAACCATACATTTAAAGTACTGTTTGATTGTAATTTTAAACCTATTATATATATATATATATATATTTCCAATAAAGTCTAAAGAACAATTCAAGAAATGTATAGGAATTTGTGCTATTAATTAGTTCTTATTTTAGTTGCTATATTAAGTTACTTGATATTTGACTTTGGTTGAATTAAATTAAATCATATGCAGAATATGGATCTGCTGGAATTGTTTCAACAAAGGTAGATGTGTATAGTTATGGAATAATATTAATGGAAGTGTTTACAAGGAAAAAGCCAACAGAAGGTACGTTTGTCAATGCATTAAGCTTAAAGACTTGGATAAGTCAATCATGCCACATGCATTGATTAAAGTCATGGATTCTAGTTTATTACAAGGAGATGAACAATATGTTGGTAATAATTTGAAAACTGCATCCACTATTTTCAAATTGGCCTTGACTTGTTGTTCTGATTTTCCAACAGAACGTTGCAATGTTAGATGTTTTAGCATCATTGAACAAGATCAAGGACTTGTTTATGCAAAGAAGTCAAGTTAAAAAAAAATTATTAATATTAAATCTATTTTGCAATTGGCGTTGTTGTCTATCCTTCATTCCTCGACTATTCCTAAAGAAAATGTTGGATGTGTGTAACACCTTTTGAGAAAGGGTGATGATATGTGTTTCTAAACATTGAATAAAAACTATGAGTTGTGAATTTGTAAAACTTGTTCGTTTTTATTTTCATCAGTTGTACTTGTATTACCTGGGTTGTGAGCCTTTTGATTAATGGTATCTAGGGATCCATATATTTAAGTTTTTAAAGATGTTATCACAAAAGAAAAAAATTGTATTATCTTTACAAAAACGTCCATCCATCCACGGCAAGAAAAATTTAATTTAGTGACGAAATTACATGACAGATTATTCATTCCTCGGTAAAAGTCTGAATTAGTTGACAACAAAAAAATTCTACTTCTAGATTGCTTTTCAATTAGACAATATAATATATTAAACAATAAAAATATAAGAAAAAAAGTTAAATGACAATATAGTCATTTTAACTGAATCACTATACCCCAAAAAAATAGTTATTGTTGTTGCGATTATATTCTTCTTTCCAATTATGCTAGGGAGGATTTTGTAAGAAAATTTTGCCATCATATATATATTTTCCAGTAAAAATATGTCATCTCATATGGTTGTAAATATAAATTGATTCAGCCATTGATAATGGTAGAGAGAAAAAGTAAAAGAAATTAAAGAAACACTCTATACAAAAAAAAATTATTAAAAATAATCACATAATATTTTATTTAATTGAAATAGTTCAATTTTATTAGGTAGAGTATGGATGACGTGGTGTACCTGTTGTTGCAAGAATTTTTCGAGGATTTACTTTCATTGTATATGTTTGTAGGAAAATAACAGTTACATCTCAAAAACTTCATTTAATGACGATAATTTTTTTAAAAAAATGAGTTATTTTAGTAAAGGATCACAATAGATAAATAATTTCAAATCATGACCAATAAAGCCTAAAATCACATTGCATGACCAAGGGACCAAATTGATGGGAAAAATTATATATTTAGCCTTATATTTATTTAAGGTGCTTTTTTTTCAATCAAATTAAGGCATGTGGATAATTTATATTATATTATATATATATATATATATATATTCTATAATAAACTCTTGTTGTTAATATTATTACAACATTAAAATCTATTTGTTTTAATTTGATTAGATAAAAGTACATTAAGTATAAAAGGTTAAGTACCCAAGTCTTATTCTTGTAAAATGACAAAAAAAACCCTCCATTAAAATTTAAAAGTACCCCCAACCATTGTCGTTGCTGCCACTAGAGCTCTACAGGTTGGACCATCGCTAGCTGGAGCTCTAGCCATTGGCCAACAAAATAATTACTTAAAAGTGACTGAGAGATTTGAACCCATGAGTCCGTGACCTCTTAATTCACCAAAAACAATATAACCACTAAGCCATTAATACTATTAATTATATGCTGCAAAATGCTATATGTAAAATAAACTAAGTTCCTAAACCAGGTTTACTAACATGATGATGACTTATTAAAATCATAACTTAAAGGAACTTGTTAACAATCTCATTTAAATATCCAATTGTTCTATGCTATGAAAGTGCACAGGTCATGATAAATAATACAATGTGAATAGAGTATCATTCTCACGTAGACTTGCATTGTCTTAAAAGTATGATCAAGCAAGAGATATTGCAAATTCAATTAAATTGAGCGAAGTACAATTAGTTAGACAAGATTGGTTGCTTCAATTATATTAAAACTAGAAAATAAAGAAAAGCTAATGATTCTTAGACTAATCAAGAATGAAATGGGACTTCGGATCATTTGTTTCCCTGTATTTAATGCATAACACTAAAATTACATCCTTCCATAAATGTTCTTAATAAAAATAAGTGCTAATCTAGGGTTCTGAAAATACCTAAATAAGCTCTCTCAATGATCATGATCAAGTTTTTAATTTCATTAATTGCTTAATTAATCTCTCATTACAATTAATCAAATCCAACTCTAATGTGGCTATACAAGGTCAGAAAATATATCTATATCTTACTAACATAACTTTGAGTCCTTATTCAAGTTTTGCTATTGGTCCCTGCATTTTTTTTCGGTGTTTTAAGTCCCTGTACTTGTTTTTTTGCATTCTAAGTCCCTCCATAAGCAGTGTTCTAGGGTTTTAGAACACTGAAAAACAAAAGCGCATGGACCAAGCATACTGGAAAAAGGTGCAAGGACTTATAGCAAAACTCAAACAAAATACAGGGATTCAAAGTTATGTTTTCCTTAAATTTTATTTTTTGAATTAAAGGAAAGGCATTAATCAATAACCTGAAATTACAAGTGGGATCAAACTCACAAATTCCCATCCAACTTACAGAAGAGCTTATATGCCACTAAGCTATAAGAATATTTGCACAACAATATGAAATTGAATCTCATAAACCCAAACCATGATATATTACTTCAAAACCTATTTACAAGAAACAAGTTACATTCTAAAAAAGTAGTAATAATTATTACGTATAAAGAAAAATGTTATGACATCAATTTTCTAATGTAAAGAAACATTTGCGTATGCAAGTCGCTAATGAGATAATGTGATCATCAGAATTAAGAAATTACTGCCTTCCTTGTCTTTTATGTTCAGAAGACTAGTTTAATTTAAATGTCAAAAATCAATAGTTTCCCGAAATTTTACCGTCTGGCT